GCAGTGGAACCTCCTGATCTTCCTTCCATACCAGGGAAACATGCAGCACTGGTGACTATGAGTGCAGTGCCGGTGATTGTTGAGATGACTGGGGAACTTCCAGATGTGGTCTCTTGAGGGCAGAAGCCCTACACAATTGGTCCCCATAGGTTGTCCAGGGATCCCAAAAGTCCCACTGAAGAGGTGGGTAGGAGAAGGGACCCCAGGGGAATTCGTATTCAATGGGCATGTGGCAGCTTCTGAAGTCCTTGTCAGGGTACGCTTCCGAGGCATCAGAGAAAAAGCTAATGAAGACTTCTGATCCTCAGTATTGTCCCAAGTCCAAAGGAGGGGCAGTAGGCATTGGTGCCGTAGGCATCAGTGCCGGAAATCCTACAGGAGGTTGCAGCATATAGACAGGTGGATGGGTAAGTACCAAGGGTTGAACACTTGCTGGAACCTGAAGAGAGGAGGCGGTTGGCAGGCACAGAGGTACTGTGGTAAACTCTCAGGTAAAGGGGTGACAATGGTTCCTCCAAAATGAAGAAGTCTTCCTGTGAAAGAAACCTAAAGTTTTTAGGAAAGCTTTTATAATGTATAGCTTAGACTGGGGGCGGTACTGGAGAACTAGTTGTGAGGACAGGAAGGTAGTTGCAGCTGGTGCCAAAGGAGCTATCAAAGTGGGATCTCTGTGCTCCAGGCATATATGATCCGAGGGAGCAGAGGTAAGAGAGGGCTCCATATGAGTCTGAGTAACAGACAGTACCACTGCCTTCGACTTTCTCACATGGTTGATTTTGACGAGTCTCAGTGCTATCCTGAGAGGTCTGTTTAGATGGTACCAATGGCCCAGTGCCGATGCCTGACAGAGCCTCATAGGTACCCATTCTGGGACACAAGGTCTTCTCAGAAACAGTTCTAAGAAGTGACTTATCTCTTTTTCTTCTCTCAGTAGAGGGAGACTTTCTTTTCTTGGAATGTTTTATCTCCAAAGAAGCCCTGGGAAGTGCTGAAATACTCAGGGGCGGTAGGGAAATTCAAACCCCTGAGAGTTCCACGAGGAAGAATTTCAGCTCAGCTCCCTTTGCAAGACCTGCTCTTACACACCATACAGACTTTGCACTTGGGATGGGACATGAGAGTCTCTGAGACACCAGGGACAGATATAATGCCCATTGCTCCGGGCACAAAACATTTTGCAAGTCTGACAGTCTTTGAATCCTGGGGCCTTCGGCATACAACAGATATAAGGCTAAGAGGGCCAAGGAATCAGTCCTGGAGACTGGGGAAAAGAAAAGGTAGGTGGAGACACCCTCTCCCCAAGGCATAAATTTATGCCAAATAACTTAATAATACGTTAAAAAAATAAAAGAAATAAAATGAATAATGGAAGAATGACTAAGTACTTGCTAGGAAGCAGCAGACATGCAGATGCTCTGTCTCGAGCTGCAGGCAGCTGAAAAGGAACTGCTTCACCCTATCTGCCTCACCCTGAAGCAGCAGGCCATGTGGTGCACAGGTGCAAACACTTCTAATTCAAATCTCCAATTGATGGCACACCGGTGTATACACATCCTACAATGGAGCACCCATAGAAGAATGATATTGAAGAACCATGGTGATATTTTATTTCTGTAATATGTACTGCTGACATACATCATTCTGCATAAGCTTTCATTAGTAATGCTAGCTGATGAAGCATCATATCATGATTTGGCATTAAAATTGGTTGAATTTTTCCAGTGGAACTTTTTATCATTCAAAATGCCTTTTGTCATCACCGAAACTTACTTCTGGACATTTTCATTTTACAGGAAATTTTGAAATTATTTCTTCTCTTTCAGCTTTGGAATGAAACAAATTTCAAAATCACAGAATTTACAGTGAAATGGAAATTTCAGTTCCTGCACAGCTCTGCTTGGTACTTTTAATGTCAGTAATTTCCACCCTGTACTTTTGGGGGGAAAGAGAAAGCCCTGCCACTATGGAAAGCAATTTGTTTCAAACAAAACATATTTGTATATATTTGGGGAGGTCTACCTTCAATTTTTGGGGAAAAACTGATATTTGTAAATTCAAGTTTAAAAGCTATCATAACGAAATATCCATCTATTATTAACCACCCTAGTATCACACACCATTGTAATTAATTAATAGAATAGAACACCTTCTAGAAGAAATTATTGTTCATTAAGGATTTTGAACAGAACTAGACAGTGATGCCCATTGCTATCCTTTGAAAGAAAATATAAAATATCAGTATATCTCTGGATGCTATGTGCGACAGAATTTATTCCAGATTATTATTTTCATATGTAATCAAGTTTGTTTGATGGGTATATGAATCTGCATTTTAGAAGCACATTGTTAGGGTTCATCCAATAGCTAGACCTAAATGTGGGACTAGATTTAAGGTTGGGAAGGGACAGGGAGGGAGTTTGGCTATTCAGGAATTCTTTCTCCAGCTTCAAAAAACAGAATAATCCTACTTGTAATTATTTTAATTGATAGGATACTAACCATGTAAGTACTGTAGCAGGTAATAATATAATCTGAACTGTATTTGTGCTAGAGCTAAAAGAATAGCATGCCAAGGGATCATCTTGAAGAGTATTTTTTGGAAATCTCTCTTCAAATATGATCCCAGTGTCTGTGATGGGATCCTTAGCTTTCTATGTGTTTATACCAGGCACATCGATATGGAATGTAAGTGTATATGTTAGTATACATTTTGGGAAAGCACACTGTTTTGTATCTGCAGAATGTAAGGTTTAAAGAAGCTATCACAGCACTTAGATCTAAGATCTTTGGGGCAGGTACTGCCTTTTTGTTCTGTTTTTGTACAGCCCTCTTACGATGGGGTCCTGGTCCTTGACTAGGGCTCGTAGGTGTTATAGTAATACACATACATTAATATAATAACCATCGAGCTGGTGTGTGTCTCGTGGGGTCCCACCGGGATTGGTTCTTGGCCCTACATTACATAATATTTTTAACAATGACCTGGAAGAAAACATAAAATTATCACTGATAAAAAATTGGAGTTGACATAAAAAATTGGGGGAGTAGTAAATAATGAAGTGGACAGGTCACTAACATAAAGTGATTTGAATTGCTTGGTAAGCTGAACGCATGCAAAAATATATGTTTTAATAAGGTTAAATGTAAATGTATACATCTAGAAAGAAAGAATGTAGGCCTTACAGAATGGGGGAAGGACTCTATCCTGAGAAGCAGTGACTCCGAAAAAATTTGGGGATTGTGGTAGATAATCAGCTGAACATGAGCTCCCAGTGTGACACTAAGGCTAAAAGGGCTAATGCAACCTTTGGATGCATAAACAGGGGAATCTTGAGTAGACATAGAGAAGTTTTTTTACCTCTGTACTGGGCATTGGTATGACCACTGCTGAAATACTGTGTCCAGATCTGGTATCCACAATTCAAGAAGGATGTTGATAAATTGGAGAGTTCAGAGAAGAGTCTTGAGAATGATTAAAAGAGTAGAAAACATGCCTTATAGTAACAGAGACAGAGCAAGAGGGTAAATCCCCAGGGTTAGGCTGAAGAGGGGCAAGCCTGAATATTGGTTATTTGGTATGTTATCCATTTCACACTGCACTGAACCCAAATGAATGCCTGGTATTTGGGGGTTTAGTGCAGTCTCCCATTAAAGTTAACAGTTAATGAAGTCGCAAAACTTTTACTTTTAAATCTACCTCTGTATTTATGTTCATTCTCCTGTATGTTCTGATCAACACAGGCTTTGTAGAAACAAACAAAACCAAGTTTTTAAAAACATAATGGGCCTTATTCTCTACAACACTGTACCAATGCAAAGTGAGCACAAAGCACTACTGCCACTATTGTGAGTGGAGTGATTTGATATTTCACATTCACATGTATTACTTTGCACAAGTGTAAATACCTGCAGTGTGCAAAGGCAGGAGAGAAACAGGTCCAGTGTTAACTAAAATGTTTTATACATTGTTTTGGTAATATCTGAATGAAAAAAAAAATCTTACTTCGATTTAAACAGTGCCCTGTAGTGTTTGCAATTAAAATACTGTACAGTACCACTGTGCTAGTACATCAAAGCTGAAAAGTGAAACTAAGTAAAAATGACAATAGAAGCTATTAGTCTATTTTCAATGCCTATTCTGAGTGAAGTGCAAAAACGAAACAAGCGGTATAGTGGTGAAGAGTACAATAAAGTAAATTTTTAAAATTCTGTCAAATTTTAATAATCTAAGTTTGTTTTGAAGATAAAAATATTAATCAGTGTTCTTAGAACCATGCAAGTATTTTTAATATCAGTTGTATGCAAAGCACAAACAGAAATTAAATGTTGTCAGTGACAAAAAAAAAAAACCCACAACTTAATTTTTCTTTATCTTAGATAGAAAAGCTAAAAGGTGAAAATAATTCTTCAATATAGAATTTAGGGAATTTTACAGTATCTGATCTCTCGTAAGAGTTTTGTAGCAAAAGCAACTGTATTTTCTAAACTTCTGCTTCACTAGGCCCTGATTTTGCAATTAACTCTACACAGGCTCAGGGGGTCCATCTGCTTGGTGCCAAATACAGCATTAGTGTTCTAGTCAAATTTCATATAGAAGATGCCATAATGGAATATCTGTTGCCTTCCAATTTATAAAGTGATAAAAGATTTAGTGTGTACATTGCTTTGCAGAACAGAGGTCAGGAAAATGGAACAGGAAACACTTAACACATTAAACATACATATAAAATTAGCACTGCAGCATCAAATTAATAACTGTATACTTATCCTAAAGGAAGTCATGTAGAAATATCAGGACCAGATCCTACAGTCCTAACACAGAAAAATAGCAATGGACGTCAATAGGGGATGTTACTTGCATATTGCCAAGAAGATTGTGCCCTTATATACTGAAAATTTAATAAAATTGTGCTAAAGTATTTCAAAGAAGTCAGTAACTAACCAGATTTAAGTGATGCTGTTTTACTTCTGTTAAACAAAACAGTTCTAATGGTACCCACCTTCATATCTTCCAAATTTTTCTGTCGAGTCCATAGTAATTCTCCATATGTTTTTTCCTCATGCTGTATTCTCTTCTCATATTTTTCTAATTCATTCTGGAGGTAATCAATTATCATCTGATTTTTCTCCTGCTTACAGCTAACAGCACTAAAATTTTCCCTTTAAAAGAAAAAAGTTCTTAATAAAAATTATTATTATAAACTGATTTTTAGTCTTACCTTATATAGTTTAATATTTAATTTTACTGTAGACAAAAAGACAGACAAATCTCACATATGTTAAGATCCATTTGAAAAACGATATAGAACCATGTGATAGATATAACATGTTCTTTTGAACAACCTCACATGTACTCTGCCCACTAATCCATCTCCATCAGACTACTATGTTAGGCCATCTTTAGAGGTTTCTAAAATGTACTTGTTATAATTTTCATTTTCCTCAGAGGTCCATATATGAGTACTCATGTTACTAATGGAGTCGCATTTTTCACACAAAAGGATATGAAAAATAAAATATAGCAAATTAGGAGTCCTATAGATAATATAGTATTTGATCGTGTAATTAAAGACTGTCATAATACATATACACAAGGGGATGAATAAAGGTTGCACAGGAAACCTTAAGTCTGGCATTTCCTAACTTTTCAGTGCTTTACTTTGTAACCTAAATGTTGTTTTAAAATAGCTTTTTGGGGGGAGGTGTGGGTAATGCAATTTCCTTCATTTTTTTTAAAAAAAGCAAACACACAAAAATCCCTTCATGTATAATCATGGTGAACTCACATGTGTCATCAGCAGTACTGGAAACTTTACATCCACTGCACAGACCTCTACCACTTACTAACATCATATCTGGTAGCAGTAGTAGAACTAGACACGAGCGAGGAATGAGATACATACTTTGCCAGTGGGATTTACAGCTATCTGCTGAAAGCACAGAAATGCTGAGATTCAGGAATCCTGGGTTCAATTACAAGGTTTGGAGGAAAGTATGTTCTATTGGTTACAGACCCTTCTGCACTCTTCCCCCCCCCGCTTGTCCCTGTCACCAGCATGTGCCCCTTAATCTGTCCCTCTGCTCCCATTTCCTTCTCCTTATGTCTCAGGCACATTATGTAGGCAGTTAGCACAGGGAAGGGAAAGGTTCCAGTATGATTAAGTATGCACACTCCCAGTTCCCTTAGGACCCCAGGTGTTGGCTATCTCCCACTAATCCAATCAAACTTGCCCCTCTCTACCCCCAGTGAGACAAGAGGAGCTTGGTGCAGTTGGCAATGTGGTAGGTTCTTGCTTAGAATTGCTAGTTCTATGCATTTTCTATAGGGTTTTTGTTTTTCCAAGGGAGAGTGAAAAGCAGTAAGGTTTTTCAAAATGGTTCACCATTTTTATTGGGTTGCCTTGATTGGTTTTAGGATGGGACTGTGTTTTCCTTAATTAGTGAGTTAGCATAGGGATTTGTGGTAGTCTTTTCAGTTACACAGCTGCCCCTACTCTGGAAAATTTTTAATTTTATAGTACTGTTGTTTTAGTACTATATAGGTCAAAATTTCTATTTTATTCTTGTAGTTTATGTTTAGGCTTTTGCTATTTTTTTTTTTGCAGTTAAACAGTAATAAGTGGAAGAGGAGATCAGATAAAAGTGTGAGAGAGTAAGCTAGAAAGTAAGCAATAGCCATGAATGAAGGCAGCAGCAGGAACCCCATGTCTCCAGTTTCTCCATCAAGCCAGGCAGGAATCGGCACCTGGAATCAAGGGCTGTTGCCTCCAGCTGCTTCCCTCAAGTGTGCACGGTTTCTTCACAGAAACAGTAACTCCCATATCATAGGACTGCTGATGAACAGACTAAAAATCTATTGAGGTATTTGAATGATCTTTTGTCACTGGGTCTAAGACACTGAGTCAGACTCAAACAGGAAAGTTTCTTACATGCTACTTGCCTTAATTTTCTCAACATCTACACTAATCCACACAGATGAGTTGATCTCTCTCCTCATAGATGGGGTCAGTTCAAGCATTTTGAAGAGGATGCTGGGAACCTTGGGTTTACCCATCTTGCAAACTACCAGAAGAGTTCTTCTAAAGTTGTATAACAATCACTTAAACCAATCACCATTCCACCCAAAAGTAAAATATGTAATCCAAATATATAAGCATGTTTAACATTTAACTAGGTATATCACCCAAAAATAGGAACTGGCTCCAGGGAAAGCCTTCTTTAAGATATGTACATAAAATGCCAACTGCTGGGACAGATTATTAGAGACATTAATAGAATAAAAGAAATTAACAGACAAGAAATATTCCTTTCTTCTGCATACGCACCACTAATCCTCACTAAAGGGAAATAACAATCAGCAAGAAGTAGCAAGCAATGAGAAAGAACCTTTCCCTTCTCTTTCTCCCCCCTTCCTTTTTGTTTTAAACAAAGGCTGTGTGCTCCAATGACCATAGATGCTGTAGGTGCACTATCCTAGTTTTCCAGCAATTCACATGGGGGAAGAATTCTGCTTGTGCTGTGTGGTCTCTGCGCAGAGGAGAATGGTAAAAATTAGATGGGGAACAAGCAACTTCAATCATCTGGATCCAAGTCTTGGAAGTGGAGTGACTTCAGATCTTTAAGAGTGAGATGGGATACCTGAGAAGCAGAGGCTCAAGAAATATTCAAAGTATTCTTTACAGAATTTCAAAATCAATGGTCTTTTTAAAGAGTAGGAATTGGAAAAATTTGGAGGAATCCCTCAGCAGAAGGAGTGCTGAACTCAAGAACTATTTAGAACCAGAGAGTTACTGGTAGTGACCAAAACAAACAAACATTACAACCTTTCACTACCAACTTCAGTTGCTCTTAAAGGTTCTTGGCCAGAACCAAGAAATAGAGTTTGGGATACAGCATCCCATTGCATGAAACTGATCAAATGGATGTCAGTAGCAACCGCGGGATCTGAGATGCTGAGCACCGATCCTCTGTATTTTTGGAGTCCATTAGACTGGAGGTCGGAACACCAGGTTCAGCTGAATCATTCTTCTTGAATCAAGGTTTGGAAGAAGCCAATCCCAGGCAGTTGGGAATGTGTAGCACCTGCAAATGGAAGTGAACGTGGCTGGAAGAAGGGAGCTAAAGTGTGTGGAGGCAAGAAACTCTTTTTTCATGACTTCCCCATCCTGTAAGTAACTTTGCAATTCAACAGAACACAGCTATTTTCTCTTTGACATTGCACAGCAGGCTCACCTTTATCCTGGAGAAGAGTAAGCCTGCTGTGCAATCATCATATATGGCCCTCCAAGGCTTGCGTGGCCTAGAAGGCTACAGGTATTTTCAGCTGGATAGGGCCCTTGGAGACTATTTTCAGGACTCATCAGTCACAGTAAGTGTAAGTCCACATTTCTTGAAACAGAGAAAAACCAGAACACAAGAAATCCTCCATTAATTAAAGATGCAACTGACCATGGATTTTATTAGATTTTGGAAAATAGTCCTGATGCCTGAAATACCATTTACCAGGCAGACAATTTATCATGAATGTCTTCTACAAATGCACAAAACCCACAAAGCATAATCAGACAAAAATACTTTCAAATTATTGATAAAAACTGCATTATATTTATGATAAATAATACTGTACAGATAACATAAAAGCTACGTTTTAAAAAACTTTGATAGGAATGGAAATTCTTACCTCAATTCTATGAGGGATTTCTCTGTAGTTTCAATTTGTCTTTGCTTTGTCTCTGCTAATTCATTTAATTCATGAATTCTGTTTTGAAAATTTTCAATAATGTGAATGGTTTCATCTAGCCGACAGGAAACATCTGAATATTTTCCCTGGAAACAAAGAAGAAAATGTGTGAGTGTGTGTATATATATAGTGTGTAAAGTAGGGAGGGCTAGATTTCTAGATACTGTATTTTAAGTGCACAATTATGAGCAACGATGCATGAAACTGCATACCTGAAGACACAGAACTGTTTTCAGAAGTCATGTTGAAGCACTTAGTGCAATTGAAATAATTCTGTTTCTTTAAGGGCAAAATTTTACACGTCTAAGCTATTGTTCCTCAACTTGTTGCACAACCTTGCTATTAATATTTGTATCCTCACAACTGCATATTGAATAATACCTTCTTCATTAATAGACACACCCCTTCTTAATCTGTGCTCTCATATACATAACAAACAGCTTCTAATAATTCTGTTCGCCTCTTCAAACAAACAACGGCTTGCATACGCAAAATCACCAATAGCAGGTGAAAGATAAACAAAACTTTTCACACATGGCCCAATTCTGTGCCCACTGATTTCAATGGATGCAGGATCAGGATCCTAGGTAGCAACTTTCACCTTAGGTTATCAAAATACTAACAAATGTTAATGGAGTCTTGCAACATCTCCATGAAGTTTGGTAGAAAATATTCTCCCAATTTTACTCAGTAGAAAACTAAGGCACAAAAAGTTAAAAGCACAATGTGTGCCTTAAAATAGGCAACTACTCCACACTTAGACATGTATCGAAGAAGAGTCCTGATTTTCAGGGGTACTTAGCAACTGTAGCCTCTAATGGCTTCGATGGGAGCTGTATGTGCTCAGTACCTTTGGATATCAGTATATTTATTTAATTGTGTAAAGATACAGGTGCCTTTAGACATAGGTCAAAATTTTCAGACAAGAACTGTTTGTAGGGTACTTGTTCCATATTACAGGCAGTGGGACAACTGAGAGTAAAAAATAAAAATCCTGAACTACAGTCCTCTTTTCTAATCCATAGATACATTGCCTCTCAAATGCATACTGAGACCAAATTATTTAAACTTAAAATAGGAAGAACTGTTTTTCACAAAATACTTGTAATTCACCATAGATATTAAAGTATGTCTTAATTTTCATATCTCCATTGTATCCAAGCAGTATGGCAAAGACTATTTGGCTTTTAGTTACACAGTTGGTGAAGAATCAGGTGAAATGCAATGGCCCCTTCTCATTTCACAGGTGACAACCAGATGGATGAAGAAAATTAAAAAAGGCTCATGATGCAAGCAAACAATACCGCTAATACCCACAGTATAACCAGGACTGCAATTTCCCCAGAACCAATACACCGAAAGAAGAGAGCTATAGAACAACAATAAGCAGGTGGGAGGCTGGAGCTACTTTAACAGAAACCCATTTTACATATAGGGAAAAATTACAAAGAGTAGCTCTAGTAATCCATACTAATGGACTCTAAATAGCAATAAGAAAAGGAGGACTTGTGGCACCTTAGAGACTAACAAATTTATTTGAGCATAAACTTTCGTGAGCTACAGTTCACTTCAGCTCAACAATGCATCCGATGAAGTGAGCTGTAGCTCACGAAAGTTTATGCTCCAATAAATTTGTTAGTCTCTAAGGTGCCACAAGTCCTCCTTTTCTTTTTGCGGATACAGACTAACACGGCTGCTACTCTGAAACCTGTCTAAATAGCAGTGTAAATGAGCTGAATTTAAGGAGGAGGAAACATACTTCTTGATCTCACACACAAACACACACATGGGCGGCAGGTTTGTATAATTTTTGGTGGTGCCCAGAACCTGTCCCTGCCCAAACTCCACCCCCCCCCCCACCTGCCCAAGACTCTGGGAGGGAGTTTGGGTGGGGGAGGAGGTCTGGGGTGCAGGCCCTTGGCTGGGGCAGGGGATTGGGATGCAGACTCTGGGAGGGAGTTTGGGGATGGGAGGGGGTGCAGGGGTGAGGGCTGTGGCTGCAGATGAGGTGTGTGGGAGGGGCTCAGGGTGACAGTAGGCGTGTAGGGGGTGAGGGCTCTGTCTGGGGCTGGTGGGGTTGGGGTGTTAGAGAGGCTCAGGGCTGGGGCAGAGGGTTGGAGTAAAGGGGGATGAGGGCTCTGACTGGGACTGGGGATAAGGTGTTGGGGGTGCTTGAGGGGCTCAGGGCTCAGGCAGAGGGTTAGAGTGTGGGGGGGATGAGGGCTCTGGCTGGGGCTGGAGATGAGGAGTTTGTGGTGTTGGAGAGGGCTCAGGGCTGGGGCAGAGGGTTGAGGGTGTGTGGGGGGATGAAAGCTCTGGCTGGGGGTGTGGGCTCTGGGGTGGGGCAGGGCTGGGGATGCATTTGAGGTGCAGGCAGGCTGCTCCGGGACAGGGGCCAGAGAGGAGGACACCCCCCAGCCTTTTCCCTGCCAGCAGCAGCGAGTTCTGGGGGAGGAGCCCCCCTTTCCCGCTCCCCCCAGCAGCACACTCACCCCCACCACTGTCACTGCATGTGCTCCTAGGACCTCTCTCAGGTCCAGGAATCTCCCTCACCTCCCTCGTGGTGGGTGCCGGGGTGCTGCGTGCACCTCCTCCCCTGCTGTTGCCCCTGACTGTAGCCTCACTGGGGGTGAGGGATGGGGCTGCCCCTTGCCCAGCATGGGGCAGGAGCGGTGACTGCCGGTGGGGGGGCCTCCTGTACTGGTGGAGGGTCACGCTGGAAAAGGGAAGGGTTGGAGGTGGAAGGGCAGGCTCAGAGTCAGTCTGCCCTGGCAGTCGAGTTGGGGGGCACTAGGACCCAGCAGCAGAAGTTGATGCAGGGAGACAGCATGGAGCTGCCCCTCAGAGGCAGGGATGCTCTGCTCCGGTGCGTGGGGGCAGAAAGAGGAGGCCGGGGGACTCTCGTGGGGGGGGGGCAGGTGGGGCCGAGGGTGACACCCAGCCCCAATTATTGGTGGAGCTGGGCCCCGGGCTCTGAATATCGCTGGTGCCAAGGCACCACGTGGAGATATAACTCACCGCCTCTGCACACACACACACAAAGAATTACAGCCCTTATAAAGCATCACAGAAAAGTGCACCAGCAAACACATTAATACCCAAACTACGGTGGTTAGCAAAGGAGCGCATGCACTTACAAGTAATCGGCTTCACAAATCTCTTTTTCAGATGCTTTCCCCTTTCTGTCCAGGTGACAGCCTGACACTTGGTCTGATGGACTTTTACTCTTAGAGGAAAAAGACCCCCCATCTTGGATATATACCTCAAAGATAACTGAAAGAATCCATCCAGAAATCAAATCTTCATAAGGTACTTTGCCTCTAAGTGTACATCTACACTTTGAGCTGGAGGGATAATTTTCAACTCAGGTAGACGCACAAACATGTGATTGAGCTAGAATGCTAAAAACAAAAAGTGTAGCTGTGGCAGAGTGGGAGGTGGGACAGGCAAGCTGCCCAACTAAGTACCTAGGGTCCTGGGAGGGATTGTACTCAAGGTGACTAGCCCATCCCACAGCCTTACTGCACTTCTAATCAAAGCTAGTGTGCATTCGTGTACCCAAGCAGGAAATTACACCTCCAGCTCCAAGTGTACAGGGAGTGATGCTCCAGAACAGATATGGAGACAATCAGGTGATCTTGTCAAACAAACCTGATTTCATTCTTTTATGACAGGGGTCGGCAACCTTCGGCATGCGGCCCATAAGGGTAATCTGCTGGTGGGCCACAAGACAGTTTGTTTACATTGGCTGTCCGCAGGCACGACCCCCAACAGCTACTGCGGTTCACCGTTCCCAAACAATGGGAGCTGCGGGAAGTGGCGTTCTACAGGGATCAGCCAACGCTATTCAAAATTTTTATCTATGATCTAGAAGTAAATATAAAATCATTGCTGATTTTAGGGGATATTGTCCATACTTGTTAAACTTCCTTTCTTCATTAATTTCTATACCAAGCCAGTTGCTTGGGTATAGTTCTTCCCTGCTAGCAAATTGAGAAACAAATAACTAAGTTTTTGACACATTATCCTTCTCTCCCCAGTATACGCTGAAACGGCTTACCAGCTCAGAACTCAGCTGCGACTTAGAAAGCAATTCTGGTAAAAAGAATGACCTTGAACAATTGTAAAACCAACAGGAAACTATAAAAGGACATTGTATTAATCTTTCCAAGGTGGCGGCCTGGACTGGTATCTCAAAGAAAATAAATTTTCTTACTTTTCTTCTTCAACCAGTCTAATTGCTTGGGACCTCCTACAGCAATAAAAAATCATACAGGAGGAAGGGATGAATGTCTAACAGCTGCCAGACGCATCTTTCTGACAAAGGCTGCATCCAATTATGTTTGTACAACACATGGAGAGCTCTTGGTGAATATGAGAATTGATGTCTAGGTGGCTGCCTTGTAGATTTCCATGAAACACCTCCAATCTCTCTTCCCACAAAGACTCCATCCATGTGGTAATGCAGGCTTGAAATACATGCTTTCTCCTCAATCCATTCTGAAACTATTTGGAAGAATGCCTGAACTTTCCTAAATTAGGATATTGATGCAATATGAATAACCACTCTGAATCTCTCAGTTCTTAGCAAAGATAAATTCAGACAGCTGTTAATGCCAGGCAATGTAGCTTACCCTACTTGGAATTTTGTGGATTAAGACAAAAGAGTGGGAAAGGCTACTTCCTTGTTCAAATGACATACAGGAAAACCTTTCAGGAAAGGACCCTTATCCTGGTAGACCCTGTATCTAGCAGGAGAAGGCATGAAGTTCCTTGAATCTTCTGGCAAAAGAGAACTGCCATTGGAAACAGGACCTTAAGGTACAGTCAACAGAAAGAAAGGACAGTCGTATGGTTAAGTCACTGGACCGTGTAATAAACTGGCCTTCTCCCCAGCTCCCAAAAGACTCACTGCCACAACCACTCTCTTTCCAGGTAGTTTTTATTTTCCAACACAGGCAAAACAAACAAAAAACAGCCTACCTCGTGTTTTTTTCCCCTCCCTTTATCTCTCACAGGAACTTCCTGCTGCTCCTGCTTCTTGCAATTCCCGAACTCTGACTCACCAGGTCTCCCTTCCCTCTAG